AGATAAGAAAATAAAAAGCTGAATGTGCAAATAATTACTTCTGGCAAAATGTATTGCTTTGAATCCCTTGTCTGTAGGTCAACAATAAATGCATGCAGTGCCAGTCAAATGGTCATGAAAGTGGACACCTTTTTCAAACAGATTTTTCTTCCCGTGTGAGTAAACCGTAGTACTCAGAGAAAACCTACAACACTTGGTTCAGGGTTGACTCATTTCAAAATTCCAACACCAATATTGCAAAGAGAAATTATATTTTTAACTTTCACTTCACTAAAATATTTGAGTTGTTTCCTTTGCTATCTGGGTATTTATAGAAAACCAGTCATCAGAGAAACATACTCTGACATCATGAAATGGACAACTATTTGGCAATTCCGATTACTTACCACGCACTACAGTATGCATATCAAGCATAACTGTCAGGAAAGACAAAGCCACCATTCAAAACAAGATAAAAGCTGTAAATGATATTCTTGGGCGTGTTTGCGGCTTAAATAATTGGACTTATATAGACAATAGTAATATAGACTATACTTGCTTGAATAGACGTGGGCTACACCTAAACAAAAAGGGTAGCAGTATTATTAGTAAAAATTATAATAACTATTTCAATCATATTAATTGAAACACAGCCCGGCCAGGTGTTGATAAATGGGCATCATCAAACCCAAACGTTCCAAACTTTAAAGGTTTCAAAATGAGTATGCTAAATATAGCCAGTTTACCTAAGCATATTAATGAAATAAGAATATTACTGGCCGATCAATGTCTCGATATACTTGCTTTGAATGAGACAAGATTGGATGAAAATATTAGTAACCAGGATATGCATATAGATAACTATGATTTAATTAGGTTTGATCGTTCTAGAAAAGGGGGAGGCGTCTGTATATATGCTAAAAATTCTCTTAACTTTTCCGAACGAAAAGACTTGACTAGAGATAATCTTGAGGCTGTTTTTATCGAAATTCATAAACCTTCTAGTGCATCCTTTATTGTTGGAACTATATACAGACCTCCAAGTGCTTCGGTTAAATCATTTGTCGCAATTGAAAAATTAGTGCAATTAATAGATGACGAGAATAAGGAATTCTATTTACTTGGCGATTTAAATGCCAACATGCTTGACATTTCGAATAATGCCACAAAAGAACTAGTTTCAATAATGGAACAATATCAATTAACTCAAACAATTAGTGCACCCACTCGTGAGACCACGACTTCATCCTCTTTGTTAGATGTTTGTCTCACTTCTACTCCAGAAAAGTTAATTACATCTAGGGTAGTGCCGATTACAATTAATGACCATTACATGATCGTCATTGTTCGTAAAATAAATACTTGCTGTAAACAAAAACGCCACAAGAAAGTTGAATTTCGAAATTTAAAAAATTTTAATGTCGATAATTTCCAAGCCGACCTGTATAGTCAGGATTGGGAATTATTAGATAACCAAGCATGCGTTGATAAGATGTGGGATATATGGAAAACACTCTTTATGACAGTGCTCGACAAACATGCTCCAAATAAAGAGAAAAGAGTGAAAGATAAACCCAGTGTCCCTTGGCTAACCACTACAATTAAAAAACAAATTAGAGAACGAGATCGTCTAAAACTTCTTGCAATAAAATACAAATCGGAAAATTACTGGGATGCTTATAAATCGTCTAGAAATCGCATAACAGATGCTTTGCGAGAAGCCAAAACAGCTTATTATAAAGTACAATTTGATAAAGTAAAACATGATCCAAAACAAGCTTGGAAAACTGTTAATAAAATCCTAAATCGAAAGCAAAAATGTCCAGATATAAACTCTGTCAAAACTCAGAATGGAGAGATTACCGATCCAAATGAGTTAGCGGAAAGCTTCAATGATTATTTTACTAATATTGGCCCAGATATTGCAAAAACGATCGATAAAGGTGACAGAAATTTCACGGATTACATAACTAGAGTAACTAGCAATTTTAAGTTCCAAGCTGTATCTGAATCGAAAGTTCATAGACTTCTTTTGTCTCTAAATCCCGGTAAATCTACCGGTATTGACAAAATTCCAGCTAAAATTATTCGTATTGCTTCCCCAGTAATTGCAAATTCCTTGGCAAAAATTTTTAATAGGGCAATCACCAGTGAATCCGTTCCATCTGAATGGAAAGCAGCGAGAGTTACACCTTTACATAAAAAGGCCCTCGAAACCTGTTAAATAATTATCGCCCTATATCCATTCTTCCTGTTGTAAGTAAAGTTTTCGAAAAAGTATTATACGAACAGTTACACGATTATCTTGTTACAAATAACTTACTATCCCAACATCAATTCGGTTTTAGACGTAGTCACTCAACAGCATCCGCCCTTTTAGATAGCACAAATGAATGGTTTGTTAATATGGATCGTGGCTTTTTTAATATTGCAGTCTTTCTCGACTTGCAAAAGGCTTTCGACACTATTAACCACGTTGTATTATTGAAAAAACTTGATTTTTATGGTTTAGAAACATCAGCTTTAAACCTCCTAAAATCGTATCTAGAAAACAGAACTCAAATGTGCTCTGTTAATGGCACACTTTCTCGTAAAAAATTAATTACATGTGGAGTCCCTCAAGGCTCAATTCTTGGGCCGCTCCTATTTTTGGTTTATATTAATGATTTGCCAAACAGTTTGGAGTATTCGTCAACAAGAATGTTTGCCGATGATACGACATTAACTGCATCTGGTAAATCAGTTGCGGATGTAGAAATGGCCATTAATTATGATCTTGCTAACGTAAAGCGGTGGCTATCTGCAAACAAACTATCCCTAAATCTTGTTAAAACTGAATACCTACTAATTGGATCTCGGCATAACGTCAACAATCTAGCCCTTGTTCCAAATGTGTTCGTTGGCGATGTACAAATTAAAAGAGTGAGAAAAACAAAAGCACTTGGAGTATGTATTGATGAATTTTTGTCATGGAATAAGCATATTGACAAAATTGCTAAGAAGGTTTCATCCGGAATTGGAGCGATCAGAAGACTCAAACCCTGTGTGGACCATAATACATTAATATGTGCTTATAACACACTTATATTGCCCCACTTCGACTACTGCTGCGAAGTTTGGGATACTATTGGTATCACACTCTCTGATCGCCTCCAAAAATTACAAAATAGGGCTGCTAGAGTAATTACGGGTCGTAAAAACGAACACGGCCAATCTGAACTTGCTTTAAATGAACTAAACTGGAAAACATTGAAAGAACGTAGAACTCAATTTGTAGCAAGTCTCATGTACAAAATAACCCACGATCTAGCGCCCAAACAACTAATTGATATGTTTCAAAAGACGCCTTCGTCTCAACATTATAACTTACGAGGTTATGCCACAAATCTCTACCTGCCCAAACCTATAAGACCGAATATCTTAAAAAAGGTCTTAGTTATAGAGGAGCAAAATTGTGGAATGGCCTCCCAGATAGACTAAGAAATAAATGTTCTCTTAGTCAATTTAACTTAAGTGTGCGGCACCTGGCCAGTTAGATAATGAGTTTATGAAATTTTATTTATTTGACCATAGTAGAGTAATTATAATTGTAAAATTGTATTGTAATGTGTTAGTCTTGTATATATATTTATCATAATTGAGTGTAACGTTTGTATTTTTAAACCTACGCCCCTCTTGGAAATCAGCTCTTGCTGTAGGGGTTAGCGTAGACAAATAAAGTTTTTACTTACTACTTACTTACTCCCCACGCTTCATTGCACGAAGTACGTCGTCTCTAATATCTGGCAGAACTGTGGTAGTTGAATGGCCTTTCTTAAAGCCGGATATGTTCTCTTTCAACAGCTTTTGGGAGTCAATGTGCTCAACCAATTGATAGTGTGTAAACCTTTCAAATACCTTCGAAAGAACTGGCAGTATTGATATGGGACGCATATTACTGTTAGGTATTGGAGTGATCCTAGCGACTTTCCAAGCATCAGGAAATGACGATACAGCTACAAAGGAGTTGATGATGTGAGTTAGTGGACCAGCGATGAGCTGCGCAACAATCTTGAGATATTTTGCAGGTAGTTGGTCTGGTCCTGTAGATGTATCGGATCTGATGCCTTTGGTTTCACGCAGAACCTCGTTGAACGTAACTGGTCGTAAATGAAATGCTGCATCATCACTAACGTTTGGTTGTAGAAGAAGAAATATATATGCGACAACCGGACGGTTATGTTAACGAGGAACTTCCAAATCATATCTGTATGCTTAAGAAGAGTATATATGGATTAAAACAATCCGCAAGATGCTGGAACAATTATGCTATTGACACATTCCTAAAGTCAGGTGGATACAAACAAATGAAGTCTGATCCATGTTTGTATATGAAGTCTATCAGAGATCAGAATGGAGTTATTAAATTTGTCATTCTATCGATTCATGTTGACGATCGACGTCCTGCTATTCTCCAATGATTCTGTTGATTCATCCATGTTAAGTGAAGAAAAGAAACTTATAGGCTTGAAGTTCAAGGTTGAGGATATGGGCAAAATGAAACACGTTCTTGGAATGGTGATTAAATTAATTAGAAGAAGAAGAGGAAAGATGACGATCAGTCAATCCACATATTTGCAAGGCATTTTAAAACGTTTTGGCAAAATGGAACAATATTATGCAAACCTGTCTCAACTCCTCTAGAGCCTGGAAAACATTTTCAAGAATTACCAGATGACGAGAATCCTACCAATACTAACGAATATCAGAAGCTAATTATAGGATGCCTAACATATGTAACAACTGCATGAACTCGACCAGATCTAACCTCAGCTGTTGGTACATTATCGAAGTTCATTCGAAACCCAGCAAAGAACATAATATGGCACAGTGCAAAAAAAGTCCTGAGGTATATCAAGGGTACTGGTCTGGTGTTTGAAGGCAAAAACACAAGATGTTCATTTAATTGGTTTACTCAGATGCAGATTGGGCAAATGACTTAGATACAAGAAGATCGATCAACATCTGGATATGTTTTTCAGATCAATGGATCAACAGTGAGCTGGTGCAGCAAAAGACAGCCCTGTGTAACGAGATATCCTCTACAGAGGCTGAGTATGTCGTGCTAAGTCATGCAACACAAGAAATCATGTGGCTGAGAAGATTACTTAACAATATTGGAGAAAAACAAGATCAACCATCCATTATGAACAAGATATATCAGGGAGCCTCACTCTGATAGAATTATCCAAGAATCCACGATTCCACAATCGTACAAAACACATAGACATGGCATATATCACTTATCGTTCGCGAAAAAGTCAATGATAAATCTATCAGTGTAAAATACTGCAGTACAGATCAATATAGCTGATGTTATGATGAAGAGTACCAGTTTACCAAGTAATTAAGACATACAAACTTTTCAGAAGTTTAGAGACATGTTGAATGTTATAAAGAGATCTTAGTTTAAAGAAAGACAAAGGACAGTTGTTCATATTTGAAGAATTATGAGATTAATTATAACTAGTATACATTAAGTGGGAGTGTTGACATTCATGAAGTATTACATCATTACTGTATGTAATGTTGAACTATAATTAGGATTACATGAAGTTCTCAGTTTTGTTCTCTGTTGCTTGGACATTTTATTTACTTCGAAATGTGACTGTGAATGTATTCATATTGTACAACAGAAATTATGTAACTTTACTTATTATTTTTGATCAATAAATACAAATATCAAAATAATCTAATTAGCACCAACCAATCAAATGACAGATTAAAAAATCTTTTGTCTCATAGACCAATCAGATTTACAACTGAATTGAATTTACGGTTGTAAGGCATGGACTTTTGTTAAGGTTTGTATCAGGCCTATAGATTTTAAAATATTTTGCAGGTGAGGTAAGTGTGTGCAGGTAAGGTAATGGTTTTAGTGTGTGAAACATTACCACTGGCCAAATGAACCAATCAATTAAATTAATTCACAGACAATTATAGCCAAAGCTTGTTTGTTTTCTGGGACTGTAAAAATTACAACTTTATTGAAACCGTACCCAGAAATATTCAAATTAAACAATGGTGGAGTTCAATGACTGTATTATGCACCTATCATTGTTTTCCCCCTGAGAGCAACCAACAGGGGACTTTGACCACACTATGAAGCACCAGGGAGGGGAATTTGACTTATGCATCAACTCCCAGAGTCGGGAAATTTTGACATCCGCCATCTTGAAAGTTTGCACGGTTTTGACATTAAAATGTCTGGTAACAAATATGGCGGAGAAGCACGATCAAGTTTCATTGAAAAAGGTATTTTATACACAGTGTCTCAATTTTTACCAAGTTTAAAAATATAGTTTAGGAATATAGTGGGGAATTTTGACAGCCGTTCCTTGCCCAACAGTGGGGATTTTGACGACAAAATTTTAAAAATGTCAAAATTCCCCTGGGTTGCCCGCACTTTACTCAGAAACCATTGATAGGTGCATTAAAGTGGTACTGATACAAGGTGGTGGTCTGGTGGAGAATTTCTGTATGATAGACATGACTCTTTACCAACCTGGACTCGTCCACAAATTGTTTTCCTAATGCGTCAACAAAATTTTCGCCCATGGTACTGATCTTTTGCAAAAAAAATCGATTTTTTTATTTGAAAATTATTCAGTTTGTTACAATTTTATATTTGGTTCACTCTTGTTTCTCTTGTGTGATTTTGACGTAAAGCAGCTGACCAGCTGCTGGCTCAAATTTTCGGAAATTTCAACTTCCAAGGAAAATTAGAACAAAAATAAAGGAAAGGTAAATGCAGTGAAATTTGCAGTGAAAACCTTAAAGGAAACGAACGGAACTTCCAGGAATACGTAGGAAAATAAAAGGAAAATTCGGATTTTAAAAATTCACAGTGAAAACTTACGTAATGTTTACAAAACTTATATGAAATCCAATCATATTGATTCGGAATGGCTGCCAAAATAGAAGATTCAGTTGACGAAGCATCGAAAAAGAAAAACCCTCGTCCGATTTTAAAGAACAAATTAGAGGGATGTAGTGATGTTGTGAATCAAGCAAGAACCATTCCTCACGAAGATGCTGTTATCACGGTCTCAGATGATAGGTAAAATGCTACATGTCGACATATAAATATTCCCGAATATTTATATAAATTGAGTTCCTCTTTCGCGTATTAATGGAACATTTTTGAATTTCCCAGGAGTGTTCGTGTATGGATTAGACGGGAGAGTGGACAATACTGGCCAAGTATATGTCACATGATGTCAGGTATGAACTTGGATACTATAAATATTTTGATATGCTGTATCGGGCACTGTATTTAAGGTTTATATGTTAGATTCTTAGATAATTTATAAGATTAGTACTTGTCTATATTTTCCCACACTTGACACCATGTTGTGTTGTCAGTGCGTTCAATGATTCAAGATTAACATGGATTACAGCTGACATTTAATTAACAACAGAAGTAAAATACAATCCTTCCTATAAACTATATATAACAAGATTATTATAATGCTTGTGATGTTACTGAGTGTATATCCACACCGGGCAAGCTTGAAAAATATGCCTGACCACGGTGGGAATCGAACCTACGACCTTTGGAATACTAGCCCAATGCTCTGCCAACTGAGCTACGCGGTCTGGTCGGTTCGAGTATGTGATATTTCAGAACAGAATCTAGTTCCTTTGATATCAATGTTATCTAATAATAATCATGATTTTTCTGTGTTGGTGTAATGTACTCAGGTGAATATGATGCTTGTGATGTTACTCTGAGTGTATATCCACACCGGGCAAGCTTGAAAAATATGCCTGACCACGGTGGGAATCGAACCTACGACCTTTGGAATACTAGCCCAATGCTCTGCCAACTGAGCTACGCGGTCTGGTCGGTTCGAGTATGTGATATTTCGGAACAGTATTCCATATTTCGGAATATTCCATATTTCGGAACAGTATTCCATATTTTGGAATAGTATTCCATATTTTGGAATAGTATTCCAAAGGTCGTAGGTTTGATTCCCCCAGCATGCTTAAGCCTGCCGCACACGAGAGAAACTTGCTGAGCTAACCACCTTGTGCGGTAGCTAGCTCAGCATGTTTCTCACATGTGTGGATGGTTTTCATAAGGATTTAACCTCTCGAGGCCTTGGGGAAAATTATATCTATCGTGTTAGATATTTTTCGCCTTGTGATGAAAAGTTTCAACATCTGCAGATGTTGCGAACTTAGTTCTGAGCTGCTTGAATTAACTTAAGCCACTAGCCAGTGAGAACCCATTATAGTTTATTCATGTGATTTTGGTGAAAATGGCGACAATGGAGGGAAATGCAAATAATCTTATCATTTATCAACAATGTTGTTGTTGAGTAGTTTTCTCGTTGGTGTGTGGTGAAAACGCATAGCTGAGCTAGCAGCAAGGCAGTTAACTCAGCAAGTTTCTCTTGTCGTCGTGTGCGGCAGGCTTTATCGGGATGAAGTGAAGATGGGAATTTGACAATTATTTTTTACTTATTCATGTATGTTTTCCCTTGCTACTCTGTTTTTTAAGTAAATTAATAATTACAGTGCCCAGTTGAATTGTGTTCATGATGCAAGTTTTTGACACTCCAGTCTAGTGCCTTCCTAAGAGGTGATTTGAATTTGCAACACATGTGGCATAATTTGAGGGCTGATATCATCTGCCAACAAGGTGGATAATTCTTGTTGTAAATATTAGGGGGAAAAAAAAAACCCTGTGGTTCCGGTTTCATGTCGCGAAAAAATTAGGGTCGGTAGGTCGGAAATTTTTTTTTTAATATTTTTTTCATGGTTTTTTCAATAATTAGTGTGACAACAGACGCCATTTTGGCAGCAGCCCGCAACCACCCGGAGAAATTATGGTCGCACTGTTAATCGCGTTGAAAAAATAATAGGGTCGGCAGAAAAAAGTAGGGTCGGTCCGGGACCGGAACCACAGATATATTTTTTTACGCCTAACTAGAATCATATCTGATATGAGCATGATGATTCATCATCATAATTGTCACGTTTCTAGGCAACGTCTTTGACCATAACGATGAACTTGAACCATTATGGCATGTATAAATATGTTGCCTAGTCCTAGAAGCATGTCATATAAACATGGATCATCATACTCTGAATAGAGATTCCCAGGCTTTTAGCCAGGATCTTGAAAGATGGCATCCAATTTTGGTATTATATGACACATCTGGAAAACCTGAAGTTTGGGTCTGAGTCTCTTAAATAGTATTATTAGTATTAGTAGCCATAAAAATGCTGATTACGAAAAAATACGTTTCGTAGGCGTTTGATTAAAACTTTTCTTGTTTCACCTGACCCAAAAGTACGCGGGATTTCCCGCGAGATTGACGCACAAAATCTTGGGTTTAAACCGATTTGACCATAGATTTGACACAACGTTGGTTGCGTTACAACATATTCCATGTTAGTTGGTAGCGGCACTTTTTTGATTTTTTGATATTCATTGTTCTCTTAAAGGAAGTGGTTATTTCAAAAATTTGTCCGGCCATGAAAACCAACGAGCTTTGGCTATTTGTCTGTGAATTAATTCGATTGGTTCTTTTCTTCGTTCTGTCAGCTTGCTAGAGTGATATCAAATAAATTTCATTGATTTTTTCAAGCAAATCGACCTGCGAACAGGTGGCCGGATCAGTTTGGGAGGGGTTAGGTGCGGGTAAGCCAGTTTTATTGTGTGAAACAACCGCTGACCATTTAAATGAACCACTCAAATTAATTCACGGACTAATTCTGGCTAACTAGCCCGAGCGTTTGGTTTCCGTGACGCGACAAATAACAACTTTCTTTATTAAATAGTGATTTTAATTGGAATATTCATCATGATTGTAGTCTACACAGACACAGGCACAGTCGTATAAAAACAACACGACATATGAAAAGAACCAATAAAAAAGAGAGAGCGACCGCACACGTTTTTGTTACTTTACTTTACTTATGAAGATTTTAATTGCGATATCCAAAAACGTTTTAGGGAAAAGTGTACACTTATTTTTTTTGTTTTTGTGGAATACCCGACCTACCCGTATTTCTCTTTAGTCGGGCTGATCAAGAAACGTTTTAGGTAAACGCCCACCAAACATTTTTTCTTAATCAGCATTTTCTGGCTTTCTTCACTGAAAATTTGATAAAACTACATCATTCTAAGATTCGTTGTGCGATGTTCAATCTTACTACCAGAATGCACGTTTTTGGGTTTTTTTTGTTGGGGTTTTTTTGTTGTTGGTTTTTGGGAGGTTTTTATTTAGCTTTGCCAACTAGGGCAGGGTCACCACAACAGCATATGCCAATTACTGTGAGCCCTTTTACCTAATCCACCCTGTCAACTTTCCCTGTGGGAGGAAACACGGAGTACCCGGAGAAAACCCACGACTTTCGGCAGGGCGTTGACTTTTTACTCTTTTCACATGAGGACTGGGTTCGAGTCGCATTGAGAAAGTTCTCGCTGAGGCTTGAACCTGCTGTCTCAGAGGTGAAAGGCAAGTGCGCTAACTACTTAGCCACCGAAGCCCTGTGGTTACATTACGTCTATCATGTGATGTAACCTATATCAATGGACTGATATTAAACCTGGATGCCATGAATTCACAAACTTTACATTTACTTGATGGCATTTCCTAAAATCCTAACCATGCACAGCAACTGTTTCCAGCCATGACCGCTGTCGGAAACCAAATCGTCTGCTATTTTATACTATAGGCTGTTGTGCTGTGTTTAATTTTTATAATACACGCTACGACTCGATAGAGCACATTTTCAAGATATCTATGACTTTTTGAAGTATTAAGTTTTATATTTAAATTCACGCTTCGTTTTAACTCAGATAATGCATTCGATAATTCGGTCCATATCCAAACAGCTCAATTTTTCCTGAATGAATGCAACAATTTGCCGGCTCGTTCATGGGGGGTCACACTCACACACATATACAGTACACACCACCCCTCTAGCAATTCAAATAACTATTGTTTGACCTGAAAAGAAGGCCCATGTCCATGAGAAGCTTATGTAAAGAAAATAAGTGATATGCTGCTCTAGTGTTGTAGTAGAATTTTATTGATATATTAATTGGCATCATTGTAATGATCAAGCAAACCGGATATTTAGACCATAAGGTTTCAAATTAGGGATGCAATACTACCTGAAAAATACAAGGGGAAATCCAACGTTTCGAGCGAAGGCCCTTCGTCGGGAAATTAGTGGGTCTTCGCTCGAAACGTCGAAGTTCTCCTGGCTTGTATTTTCAGGTAGTTGCATCCCTATCAACCGACGTTCTGTTGGCACTACTTACACTGGCATAGACCGTTCAAGTTTCAAATTACTCAAATGGTTAAAATTATAAAACATTACAGAACCTTGCAGCTCTTTGGATTACCATGGTGAGACAAGAAGGATGTTTGTTGGTCTTGATAATGGAACAATCACTGTAAGTAATAATTTACATGCAATGCCCATTATAACGTCCTTTATAGTCTACACTGGATCTAGAGGCCAAATTTGTTCGGGGGTTCATGAGCGTGTGTCAGGTCGCTGCAATTGCGACAAAAGTTTTCATCTGGCAACCAGATATTTGGCAAATGCAGATCACCAGACAAAATAATGAGATATATATTATATACTGTAGGTCACCAGACAAAATAATGAGACAGCAGCGCACTTTTTAAAAAAATTGGCGTTGTTAATACAGTATGACGTCTGCAATTGACATGCAAAGTGTTATTAATAAAACACGTACAATGGCGCTATTTACCATGTCAGGTCATATATGTCATATCCTTAAGTCAATACTCCCGGTCCCCGGAGACACGGATGATATTGTGGGTTTGTTCATAACGGAATTGTGTGTGGTTTAATATATCGGGCCACCTTAAAGAGATTATGAAAACCCTGCCCCCCCCCCCCTGCGTTAAGATTTCTTGTTTTTTAATGGCTTTGAAAACATTGCGTGGGCTTAAAGGCTGGTCTCCACACATCGCAGAAACAACTACTTACATCTCATTAAAATGAACTGTTAAGCGTTGTGCATGATTGGGTCAAGGCACTCTTGCGATGAATGAAAAACAGGTTTAAGGCGTTGCAGATGCACAGTATATTCAGATTTGCCATAGTTCAAAATTGTTAGCGAAGAACAGCCCAACCACTCTATCTCCCTCTGCCGCGCTTCAATACACCAAAACCTTTCATAGCACGAGTTTATAAGCTTTTTAAACTTTCTCTATTATACGGTACATATACTGTATCAAACAAACAGATATTATTAACATGCTGTGCCGCTAAATAATATTTATTTAAAATTATTTTGGTAAATAGATGGTATGCTGAAATTTTTGTTTATTTAACATACTTTTATTCCAATAGGAATTTACACTGTCAAAAGATATGAACAGATTAAATCATTCTCGGAATTATTTAGGTAACATTTATACATTTTACTATGCGATGTGTCCAATGAACAATTACGTAAGAGAAATATATATATGTGTGCATGGAGAGAGAGATGCAGTCAACTACCTGGAAAATATAAGCAAAACTTGAAGTGCAGTAGCGAGATACAGGATTGGATACGGGTCCTCATAAACCACGAATTTCAAGGCCCTTAATACTGTATGGTCGCTCACATTCTCCTTTCAAGACCCCCCGTGGGTGAAGGACATAAAGAGGCATGCATGCAAATCGTGCGGTGGTTCACGCATTTTCATTTTTTTATTTGTGTCAGTTTTGGATGAATTACCTGGTTTAAAATTACATACTTACACCATGTCCTTACAATTCCCTTAAAATTTAATATGTTCAAATTAGAGGAAGAAGCCCGGAGATAAAAAAATTAACATGATGAGCATCATCAACTTTGGAATATGGCCAATTATATTTTCACGTTTGCATGCGAATACTGAATGTCAAAAAGATGCAACAGTGTAAATATAGAGAGAGTTCACAGTATTGTACAAGTGTGTGTAGATGGAAGTGTGTTTTGCCGACATATTAAGTCAAGGCACAAAAATTTCAGAACAACAAAAATCTCGCACGTAATAATTTTTATTGTGCATTTACTCGTATTTTTAGCGCACATGGGAAGAGTGACAGGAATTTGCTTCAGTTTGGAAGATGAATGGGTGCTAAGTGTTGGTCGAGATAAATATTTCCAGTGGCATGAGACAAAGAAGGGAAAGAGAATGGGAGGTTATCAAACGCAGGCTTGGTGTACTTCCATACAGTATCCTTTTAATCATTACATTCAGTACTGTGAGTATATATAGGTATCAAACACGGATCGTAATCAACGTTGTCTTGAAGAGTTTTCGTTGAGAACGCCAACGTAAGGATGGCAGCTACCTGTATCAACACAAAAAATTGCGGATAATATCCTGTATACTATGAGATTTTTAGATGTTGCAAGCTGGATCATTGGGTCCTTGTAGCAATTTGTAGGATCCTGCATGCATGCGTGGCAACATTCTATAGGATCCTATTTTGGATCTAGTAGGATTCTTCAGGCTTTCTTGCCATCCTACAATACTTTTCCTACTTTTTCCTACTTTTCTTCAACTTTCCTACTTTTCCTATTTTTTATTAAAAATTGCTTGATTTTCCTACTTTTCCTACTTTTTCTCATAAAATCCTACTTTTTTAAGACAGCTTGGGGAATCAGTATGTTATAGCTCTCGTGATTAGATCTATAGGACTCATAATTTTTCCCTATTTGTGTCCCAGATGATAAGATCTCAGGAAGAGAAGAAGTACATTTTCCGAGTATAAAATTCCATATCATTTCTAGAATCATAATCAATAAATTAATGAAGACTCTGAAAATGCTATTTCCGACGACCTGGAGATTCCAAATATTCAACTCCCTCCCCAAGTTAATCAAGCATCATAGGCTCCTGCCGCACCGTGTGAATTAAGGTGTATGGCGCAGCCAAATACATGCACTCGCACGCAATTTGAATTGTGTTGCTGCAGAGCAGATGCCTTAGCTTTTATACCGATGCAACATTCATTGTCTATATTAATATCTAATTTTAAAAGTTTTGAGAAAAAAATCCTGCATAGATGAATGAGTACAAAAAAATATTGAGCACGAAAAATTCACACAACTTCCCCATCAGATAACTAATGGTCCAACCCTTACCACATATCCTAGGGGGCCAATTTTGTATATTTTTGTGTTATTTGCATCTCCAAAAATTCCTACTTTTGTCCTACTTTTCTACACATTTTCCTACTTTATTCCTACTTTTCCTAAAATTCTAGTCCTATTAACTTTTATCCTACTTTTCTACACAAGGATGCCAGAAAGCCTGATCCTTGTATAATCCAACAGAATCCTGGTGCAGGATCCTGGTAAAGTCTAGTTGTAGATTCCTGGCAGGACCCTGTTTAAGATTTCCACCAGGGTTTATGCATTTTATAAGCTGTGACAAATCATCAGAATATTTCTTAATAGGAAACCCTTTCTTCAACTACTGAAGTTATTAAAAAAGTCAGTATAGTTAGTGGAAGAAATTTCTTCAATCCATACAATACAAATAATTTTCACGAGTTTGTTTGACCGTTGTTTTTGCATGCGTTACCATTCTCTCTGGTAAAATTCGTATTAGCGAGTTGAGCGATTGAAATAATTTGACTAAATATTCTGTGATATGATACTGTAATGACGTATAAATAGGGAGATGATGTTGTGCATTATTATATTAAATATCCTTAACACTTACCCAAAGGTTCGACCCTCAAACGAAACACATTTTCGTCGGTGATTATAGTGGCTTGATCAGTGTCCTGAGGTTAGAAAATAATCTGGTTGCACTTAAAACTACGTTGAAAGGTCATTCAGGTAAGTGTGTGGTACTGCAAGTACCTCAAGCTGTTCCATGTTTCGTAAATTTAAAATATCGTGAGCATCGTAAACAATTGTGAGCTAGATCATTTATCGTATGTTTTTTTCACACTGGATTGTTGTGCATGCATCTGGGCTCTATAATAGCGTACTAAGAGTACAGGATATTTTTGCGCGCCAGTCACGTCACAAAGCGTTTCTGTCGCATTACTTTCTATAGGAATGCCACGACTACAAGTGTCGAACAATCAGTGCAAGTGTAGGTAGAAACTATAGCAGAAAGCTGCGATGTGAAGGATATACAACTACCTGAAAAATATAAGCGGAACATGCTTCTTCTAAATTCCCTACTCGGGGCATTCGCTCGAAACGTCGAACTTTCGCAATATATTTTTCGCGTAGTTGTACAGTACATGTAGATCCTTCAGTTTCTCACCGCCGTTTTCTGACAGCAAAATATGGCGTGACTGTATGACATGTAAATGACGAATATTATGCCCTCAATTAATCGTAGTTTAATCTAAAGCTCTTCTAAGTTAACAATTGCACATGTCACTTTCCACAGGAAGTATTGGTTCGTTAGAATGGGACACAGACAAACAACAATTGTATTCTGGAAGTTTTGACAATTCAATAATAGTATGGGATATCGGTGGAGGCAAAGGTACAGCACTTGAATTGCAAGGACATCATTCAAAGGTCGTTGGACTAGGCTGTATCTCACACTCTAAACGACTTTTTTCCATCAGTAATGATGGAATATTGGGCATTTGGGATATGACTGCCAAGAGAAATGAGGTATGTTCTACTGTTCCAGACTGGCTATAAACTTTGACAAGACTTCGAAATGCAGAAGTGATTTTCTATCTGCAATTAAGTTGTATTGAAAGCATGATTAGTTTATGACACTTTCACTCTAGAAACGATCAGTAGAAAACAGTAAAGCCGATCACTCAACCCTTTTCAGGCATTCGAAAATAGTGATTACCAAAATTTGAGTAAAAATTCATTGACAGTAAGATGTGAATTGTGTAGATTGCGATATTAACCTCGAATTTTTTAAGCCGGAACAATATAATTATTGTAGATGTTAATTTCTTTAAAGACATGACGATCTTCATGCTTCATATTACAGAGAGAGGCGTACCAGTATCTCTCGCTACGAGATATTTCGCCCCTCATGAAATAGCCACTGTTCTTATTGTCTTTCTGCGAGTTTAATTTTTAGAAAATGGGATTCTGTAGAACACCGTGTTTCGTTGAAAATCCCCAGAAATTTGCTCTTAAAGGACTTCTGGCCAGTTTACTGCATCTCGAAGAGGACTGTTACATGATAATGAAGTATATATACTGTAGATTGGATAGTTATAAAATCATCTGACTTGTTTCCATGTGATGTTCTAGACACCAGAATGGAAAGAGAGCGACATGTGTCAGTTTTGCAACAGTCCATTCTTCTGGGCGTTCAAACAAATGTGGGACCAGAAACAATTTGGTTTGCGACAGGTTTGTTAGGGTTATTTATACATGCATTACTATTTCCCTTTAACCCAAAATACAGTGTAGTTTAGCTTATTAACAGCTTCCAACTGTTCAACTCGTATTTATATAAGTTCCACGTACAGGGGCGTAGGAAGCTTCTAAAAGTTGGGGGGGGGCAGGCTTTGAGGGGCACTTTTCGAATAAAAAAGGCATGTAAAAAATCTTTCATCTCAAAAAAACCTTTTCCGGGCATACCAAAAAAATTTTCCGGAGATATCACATTTTTTCCTAAATATGAAAAAATTTTCCGGATATATCAAAACATTTTCCTGATATATGATATTTTTCCTGAAAATGAAAAAATTTCCGGAAATAACATAAATTCAAGTTTTCAAAAGTGCCCTTTGGGCAAAAAATGCAATCTTAAATGACATTTTTCACGCAAGAAAAGGGCACTTTGTTCCCGGAAAAAGAGCACTTGGCAAAACTTGGGGGCCTGCCCCCCCGCTGCCCCCCTCCCCCCGGTTCCTACGCCCCTGTGCACGTAATTGACACCAGACGTTTAATTCGTCCAGACGTTTACACACATGTACAGTATGTGCAATGAACCTACAAACCTGAACAAAACACCTGCGACACTACCAACTGTATTGAACGAACATTTAGGCCGTGGGTTGTTGGCCAAAATTATTTCGCTTCGTGGCACCCATGTGGGAAATACTTGTTTGGGGTTTATTTGAAAGGCATATAGGTACATCACTACCAAAAAAAGTTCCCAAGCAAAAAAGTTGCCCAATCCCGAGAAAATGGTTGATCAATGATTATCCTCTATTAAATTGTATTACAGCAAAAAAATGGGAAATTCTGTATTCAATTACAATAAAAATGACTTGCATCATCGGAAAACGTACAAAAAACCGCATATAAGACTTTTAATTAAACAGTTTTTTTGATTTTTCAAATAGTCTTTGAGTTATTGCTGTTTTAAATGTGAAAATTGGACCAAAATGTCGCAATAAGGACTGGGTACTAGGTCAAAAACGCGTTTTTAACAGCGTATAACTCGAAAACAATTTTAGATATAAAAAAACTGTTTAAATGTCTTTATATGTAGATTTTTGTAAGCTTTCTGATGATGCATTTTTGTTGTAATTGAATACAAAATTTCACATTTTCTTGCTGTAATACAATTTAATAGAGGATAATCACTGATCACCCATTTTCTCGGTCTGGGCAGGTTTTCTGCTTGGGAACTTTTTGTGGTAATTAAGCATCTACGGTTCTATGAATTGAACCACAGAAAATCTATTTCCCAGGAGGGTGCCACGAAATTGCTTTTCTAGGCACTTTTTCGCACAACAGCCCACGGCCTAATTTGTAATTTGGAAGTTTGGAAACTTTTTCCCTTACCACCACCATTCAATGTTCATTCCGGGAACACATGCAGTTAAAGCAATTGTAGTACGTTCAGCAGTAGGGAGCTTAAAGCCGGTTTTCCACTGCAAGCGTACCGTACCGAAACGTATCAAAAACGTTTTTAAATTTCAAAATTTCGTGAATGTTGATTGGTTAGTACTTCCGTAGTACGCCAAAACGTTTCATTTTGATACGCGAATACACCCGAAAGTACGTGGATTTATAAACCTCTTTTCAATCTGCGCATGCTCCCCAGTACGTTTCGGTACGAAAACCAGTTTAAGACACACCAAATCAACGACGCGGATGTGACGAAACACTGCCGCTATTAGAGAGGTTAAGATACACCGGTTCCGGTTTACGGGTACGAGTATCGCCATTTTGTTTACCAATTTTTGCTGATGTCAGCATTTTTACCCGTAACTTCTACCCGTTTCCCCGCGGTAAACCATGGCCTACACGTAAACGACAAACGGGTACGGGTGTTGTCTGTTTATTATTTATGGCCGTTTAAATAGCAAAAACTTCAACATCTTACCCAAATAAATAATAAATTAATGCATATTAACAATCTATGGCAAACCTTAACAGCGAAAATTACCATTCTCTGATCGGTTTTCTCACGGCGGAGTGTCTTGGATTTCTTAAGTTACAAATCGTTCCCCGATTTACGGGTACGGGTACGTGTATATCACCCGTACCCGTAAACCGGAACCGGGGTATCTTAACCTCTCTATTATCACAGTTTCACTTCACGGGTAAAAACTATGCATTGTTGTTGGTAAACAAAGCCAGGGACACGAGAAAAACAAAATAAAAGTAGTCTCCAATTATTAGCGACTGTTTTTTAGGCGCGTCCGCTTCGCAGATTTGGTGTGTCTTAAGCTCCCGATTGTTTCGGGGGTGGGGGGAATCAGAGAGGGTTACTCTTTAATCTTTACCAGAGAAAGGTGCCTAATGAATAATTAATTCAGCTAAACGGTCAACAAACTAACCAAGAGAGTACCACTGTATAAACAACCACCAACTCGTTGCTTTTCATTGTACAGCACCATTGTAGAAAATGTGGAAAAGCAGTGTGCGACAAATGCAGTCAAAAACGTTCAACGTTGCCAAAATTTGGCTTTGAATATGATGTACGCGTGTGCCTGACGTGTTTTGAAACGATTACAAATGAAGAGTAAGTATACTGTACTATAGGGAAACGGTTATTGCTCCTCTAATTATTACTTAAAAATACCAATTCTTTGTGACTTTCAGCTGTGAACTTTTATAGAAATACCATGCAATATTTATAATATTGTTTATTGAAAATAATTCAAGAGTTTTGATTGGCTAAGAGCTGTCGGTGAAATCGTCATATCCGCTCGGTAGCTGCCCAAATTTGGAGTTATGACATCACCGTGGAATATTGAAAACAAATATACCATGTTTGACGTAATTCGTGGTATACTGAGAAAACACTGTAACACGCTATGACGTCACGCTAATTTATGCGGCTTATGTCAAAAGTGGGAAAGTACAGATAGGTTCCTCAAAGGGAAGGTTCGCCGACCTTTTTTGTGTATTCCGACAAATAAATAGTAAAACAATTATTGTATTCGGTTCTCGCAGGATATGAGGAATTATTACGGCCTCAGGCTTCGGCAGATGACAGAAAACTCGGCCTTAATACTTCCTCATATCCTACTCGACCTCATTCAATAATTGTTAATTCGTTGTTATATGCATTGGTTATAGTAATACATACAGTACATGTAGGTTTGGACGAAAAACTTTTTTTGCTACGAAAAATATGTTGTACCATTATTAAACTTACTTTATTTGTTTTGTCTAAACAAAACATAATCCGTCTTTTAGACTTGTTCAGTTTTGTTATATAATCGTTGAAATACTCAACCGCTGGCTTAAGTCTTCAAAGTTACACGAAACCTAATAAGTATACTAATATTGTAAGTTCTAAGGTAATTTGAACTAACTCTCTTGAACTTAAATGTCTTTTTCGATTTTCCCCATTGTAAGGAATAAGCAATGGTTTAACCAACCTCGTTCCCAGGCTCTTTGCTCTTGGGAAGCAAAGAGCCTGGGAACGAGGTTGTGGTTTAACGTACTTTCCAATTTTGACATTCTGATTAAATTGTCATTTTCTGATTAAATTATTTTTTCTCCCCATGGTAATAGTCGCCGACCACTGGCTTTATTTCACAACACTAAACATCCTGTGGTGAATGTTAGCATCGATCTGACAAAAGGAAAACTTTTAACATGTGGAAGCGATAGAATAGTAAAGGTACGAACATTTTTAATGCACGCTTCCGGAAATATGTCACCTTGGCTATATAGAGCCTTGTTTTCAAGATTAAGACGTTGGGAATTCACTAATTGACTAATGTCGGATGTTGGGAATTCACTATAGCCAAAGTGACGTACTTTCCAGAGTCCAACTTTGAAGGTATATGGCAATAAAAATTAACTTTGTCTTATTTGAAAGAACTTTTAAAGTTATATTTATGAAGACCCTTTCCAACTTTTTCGTACCTTGCTTGGTTGTCAAAATATTTTGACCAAAAACAGTGTGTAGTCCGCCATCTTGGTATTATAATTGACCTAATTAACTGAGTTTTTGATGACGTCACAAGCAAGGTAAACTTGTTAAAACTTCTTCATTTGGGACTAATTTTCTTCGGAAAGTTTCTTAAATTAATTGAGTACTAAAAAGACTTCGGAAAATCAAGCTTCATATTGATAATGGCATGTGGTTTGCAAGATAAAAATTTCCTTTTTCACCCTACTTGTGACGTGTGCATATCCAAAATGGCGGAATGGACGCTGCTTTTGATCAAAATAAGTCGATTTATTTCGAAAACCAAGCGAGATACGGAATAATTGTAAAGGAAGTTTATATATCATTTTAAATCTTTCAAATAAGACAAACTTAATTTTAATATTGCCAAATCCCTTTAATGGTTGTTATATCAGTATTCCTACAGTTACGTACAGTACTGTATATCATGTACTGAATAGTAATAGAAAGATGTGCTCCCTCTTGACTTTCCGGTAACACATTTTTGTATCATTGTGATCAGAACTGAAACAACCAAATCATGGCCGGAAATTGCACAGAAAAATTGTCATGTTGCTGTGGGCTCAGTCAAAACTTTTCTCGCGGTTTTCTTGCTTCTTTGCTTTACTTCGATTTCCTTGTGGCAAAATACGGCTCAAATTGTTAGTGTAAATAGTGCTTACTTATGCTTGAGTCATCTAATATTTTTTAGGCTTTAACCTTCTCTTAATTTTGAAATTCTACTAAGAAATCAAACACTTTGCCCACCATGCAGTACCTTGAAAAGTGGATAATTTATCTGTTTTCCTCATTAGTATTCAAATATACACGTCAGCATGTACAATCTACGCATATTCAGTTAAGATGTGCTACAGTCTGTTGAAGTAATACCATTACTCTTACATTTAACTTAATTCAACTTGTAGACATCATGAAGCTGTGTACGCAGTTATATTTTCATAATTTCTTTACCTCTTTTAGGTCCTCTAGCAATTTCGTTGCACACGGATAATTTTCGTGTACTGTGTTATAAATTGTTTGCGTATGCGTGTGTTGGGAAATAGCTAAAATTGATAAAATCCGGCTGAAACATCGCGTATATTTAAAATCAGATTTAAAGGCTTGTAGTGCTACATTTTAGTCACAATTCATTGAATTCATGCATGGTAACAGTATTGGAACTCTATTTAAAGAAAATTGACAACTGAGCCATCTTGTTAGTATATAACTAAGCGCGTATATGTGACAATGAGATCAATATAGAAACGAATCTCACCACGAATCTCACCATATTTTCATGGCCTCACACGTCATAAAAGCCTTAATAACATACAATATCAAATAAATTCACCCTAGGCATCTAAAGTCCAACATATTTTACAAGTTTTCGTAACGAACTGACTAAGATACGAATGATTTTCTAGCAACGATTCCCACTTTCTGTCATAAAATAGCCAATGAGATATAGATTTATTTACAGTTTTGTAGTGAGCTTCGTTCAAAAACGAGCTTAAAAAGGGATATCTGCAAAGTTAACCAATTGTAATTAAGGAAAATGGTTTCTTGTACCCATATGCATATAAAGTGTAAGATTAGTAAAATTTATAGTAACGCAAATCAGCGTTTTAGACCGAGAATCGTCAGTCAGCATCGTGTAATATGAGACGTATGAAATTTGACTACTGGCGCGCTATGAACTGTACTATAAATCTTATATTGCAAATGAAATTTAGCTTGGAAATGGCCCCAGTTCTCAAGTATAAGTTTGTAAAAGGCGAAAATAATGTATATTTATTTGTCTTTCCCGCAGTTTGATATGTTGTGAGATGAGATTCAAACCTACTCGACTCACAAACCGATTATTTCTGAATAGTTCGGTTCCAGATTCGTCGTAATTATGGTCTTTTGCATCATTCCAAAGACAGCATGTAACTTTTGAGTAAATTTCCGCGGATTTTTCACAAGGAAGAGAGCTATGATGATATTAGACGTGAATATAAATGTGCTTATTAAGCATTATAGCTAGTAGCACACGTACCTGTATTGGTATATAAAATGTTAAAAATTACCCCCCCCCCCCGAATAAATGGATAGTAACAAAAACTACCAAAACTTGCCCACATATGCTTCGATACTGGAATATATGTTATTGGGCGGTATAAACTTAAAACTAAAACGTTTAATTACCAAATTCCAAAGACCATTGATCACCACCAAGACAATCTTTGCCAGAAACTATGGGACAGCTGCTGTAATTTTATATAATTTGAAAGGAATAGCGCCCCCGTTCTCCCAGTTCAATGTTGGGCCAACAAAAATCTGATGTCTGGATACGCGGCGCCAACATTGAAACGGGTGGGGGCAGGGAGGGTGGAAAATATGTATCAGGAAATGGTATATTACAACCGAATGCATGTGAAAACTAGATTGTCCCAATGTATATTGTCAAAGATTGTAGCTCTGCTTAGCTTTCAATTTTTGATCGTGAGTACGCTTTCAGTTTACCAAAAATTAAAAGTTCGAACACATTTTCTTTGTCACTTTAATTACAACGTTCAGATCTTGTGAGTTGTGCATGTTCAATATCTTTAAACAAGATTGGTAAGATTTTATTTCCAGTAATTCGGGTTTATTTACACGTGATATTTTTGAAAACACGGCCATTACGTTTTCATGTTTCCAACTTTCAACATGTTTACAACATCTTTCAACACAAAGCTCGCATTTACTGGGAACTTCACGCCTATTGTGATTGTGATTTAGCTCACCAAACTTATTCTGCCTAGTTTTGGTATTATTTGATTTAATTTAGTTAAAACTCTTCTTCATCTTTCAGATCTGGGACGTTTCTTCGCTTATCAATCCTTCACAAAAGTAAGAAATATGGCTACCTAATGAAGTGAACATTCTGCCTACCTTATTGGTAGAGATTGAATTTTTTCGTACATATACGATGGCAAGCATCGTTAAATCATTACCAATAGTTAACAATGAAATAGCGCGACGCTCTAGAAGTACAGTATACTGTAGTGCTCTGATCCATCTTCATGTAGGGTTCTCCCGAGGTGGAATTTTTTTTCTGGGAACTTTGGTTTAGGTCTTAACAAAAGATTATGCAATAAAAAGGGAAAATAACAAAATTGTCGTTTGTAACTGCCTTAAGGCGGATTTCCAGTCCTCGCACGAACTTCCTCCCAGCTCGCTGCGAGTGCTTGCATCTAATTAAAATTAACTGTTTAGCATTGTGATTGGATAAAAGTGCTCATGCATGCACTCGCAGCGAGCTGCGTGCGAGGACTGGAAATCCGCCTTTATAATGTAGTGTTGTCGTGTGAAGCAATATGTCTTTTAGACTGAAACTCAAAAGGCATACACGATAAATCCTATTAATTAATCATTTCAACATTTAGGTATTTGGTAACTTCAATCAGTCTGGTATTCAATCAATGCACATCCCAAAATGTTTCTGGGAACTAGGTTCCCAGGTTCCGATAGCTTTTCCACCTCTGGAGTTCTCATGCATACACAAAGAAATATAAGCAGGCAACTATATAGACTAGGAAACACGGAGAACGTGTTTTCACATAAGAAACACAATGCTGCCAGTGAAATGTTGCGCTTGCTTAGAATTGAGAACTTTGTAAATTGTTCCAATTAGACTGTGCATGGTACTTACTGTACTAAGCCGAATGATTTTAGATTAAATTATATTTAATGTGAAACATATGTATTGGCAGTCATGTTTTCAGGTTTTGTTGTTGTCTTTGCTCGCAATGGTATATTGCATATCTGCAAACTATAATATCGAATCACCCTCCAAAATGGAGGTAATGAGCAATCATATATTATCATATCGTAACAGATAATTATATATCTTTGAACTAATTCCAAGTTTATTCTCTGAAACACATTTATAAAATCCAGCATGACTGTACTGCACTACATCTATCATGGTATATACGCTTTGTCATTACTGATGACTTTAGTGTATCATTATGGAGTGTGGTATAACTTGATGATAGACGACTGATTCACCAACAACTCCTTTTTGTATATGGCTCTTCTGGTGGATCTGTAAAATATCTAATAAAAACTAATATTCTTATTAAAATCAACTCTAAAAACAGTATAAAATATGCTTTGGTAGTGTATGGTGTTACCAAGTTGAATGAGACTTTCTATACGTGATTCTCTCGACTGGCAACTCTTAGGTGTTGCCATGTGATTTGCAACAAAAATGACAGCTACCCAATTTCCACTTTTTGATATTAAAATAGTTTAAAATTAGGCTACGTAAAAACTGAAGATTTGTGTTTACCGAAGTATTAGAAGAAAGAGTAGTATATTTCGAAATAATATATATAGACCCAAGAAGAAGTCAGTGGAACTATAAAAATTGCTCTAAATTCTTTTAAATTGAAAAAAAAAACAAGGACGATTGCCACCTTGTCCTCCTTTACATGTACATGCAAAATCATCACTTGTATTCAACGTGACGGGACTGGAACAATATACTGTCATTGTTGGCGTTACTGAAATAGAGACCTTAAGATTATAGGACCAAAACAAATTCATTCAAATAAATGATTGTAAAGAAAGCTTATCGTATATTATCAGCCGTATGAATTTAAAACTGAAGCGATCAAAACAGAGACTTTGATTGGTACTGAACCAAATGTAAACGTTGCGCACAGGACGTAAAAGCTCTGGTTTACCGGTGGTAAACAGACCGTGGGCGCCGTCTTCTATAAATCTCCCGTGGGATTTTAATTATTCATTTCTTTTCTTAAATATTATTAATTTCATTGTATTACTAGCCGTCGTCGTCACGTTGCCGTCCCAGATCTTAAGGTCTCTAATTAGTGAACACTATACGCATAAATTAAGAAAGTCGTTTTATAAAGCTAGAGTGCAACTCAATTTTCTTCAGTACAGTTCAGTTTAAAGACCGAAGAGATAGATCTTTCACATATATATATATATATATATATATATATATATATATATATATATATATATATATATATATATATATATATATATATATATATATATATATATATGTGAAAGATCTATCTCTTCGGTCTTTAAACTGAACTGTACTGAAGAAAATTGAGTTGCACTCTAGCTTTATAAAACGACTTTCTTAATTTATGCGTATAGTGTTCACTAATTAGAGACCTTAAGATCTGACAAGAATTTACTCATCAGTAAGTTCTTTTATGTCACATTTTAGGGCATGTTTATAATGGGGGATGCTATATCCATGTGTGATGTGTTCATAATGTATGGCTAAATGTCTGTAACATAGTGATTAGTAATACAGATTTTTCGCTGTGATCTATGCCAGTGAAGGTACTGCCAATAATAACATGTCGGTTAATAGGAATGCAACTACCTGAAAAATACAAGGAGAACTTCGACGTTTCGAGCGAAACCCCTAGCTTGCACTGTGGTTGCAAATTATACGTAGTTGGCACGTATTTTTTTGTGCACTGTATTTCAAATTTTTGACACAGTTTCCTTTTTTGCACTGTACTTAGATAAAATTTCACTCCTCTCTGACTCAGCCAATCAGGGTTGCGCGGTCATCAAAATTGGAGAATGACATTTCGGAGAAAATGCATGCATGCATGGGGTATGACTAAAAGGAGAGTTATAAAATAGAGAGGAAAGTCGGACTTTGCACTTCATTTTCGGTCTATTCTTTCTTGCTTTCTAATAAATTTTGGATTTAAACGGCACTCTATAATTCTGTTCACATTGTTTTGCAAAAAAAAAACGGAGAAAAAGCAAGAAAAACTGAAAAACCAAGACACGTACAGTGCATTATGGCGTTTTATTATATAAAGTATAGTGCTTTATAGAGATTTCGAGCACTGATAAAAGTGATAATCTCACATGTGAGATTATTTATGATAATCTCACACGTGAAAATTATCGCTTTACATGACTTCTTCACTTTACACTTCATTCTTCACTTTACATGACACGAAGACGAAATTTATTGGACACATTGACAATGCTCTCCTGAACATTGCAATTTACTACTTTTGCGCTGAAAGTCCGTTACCATGGTGACAGCGTGCTTTGGATAATTAAGCTCAAAATTTGTCTTTTTCCGGCCGTTTTAAAAATTTAAAAATTTGCATAAAAGATCTTTCTCGTTTAATGATTTTTTTTCTTCAATTTTAAAAAATTCTATGGAACGTTTCTTAGATTATTCCCTTCAATAAAATTTTAAGAAAAAAGGATATTGAGCTTGTTTAGCCAATATTAAATAGAATTTTTTAAAATTGAAGAAAAAAAATCATTAAACGAGAAAGATCTTTTATGCAAATTTTTAAATTTTTAAAACGGCCGGAAAAAGACAAATTTTGAGCTTAATTATCCAAAGCACGCTGTCACCATGGTAACGGACTTTCAGCGCAAAAGTAGTAAATTGCAATGTTCAGGAGAGCATTGTCAATGTGTCCAATAAATTTCGTCTTCGTGTCATGTAAAGTGAAGAAACAGGAGTTTTCTGGATACAAAAGTGTAGCATAATGCAAAAACCCTATGGATCCACCTTAAAATAGCTTTTTATGTACTATTTAAAGCACGCGTAGGAGTGCTTTATCAGATATAAAACGCGAGGCGCTGCCGAGCGTTTTATATCTGATAAAACACGACTACAAGTGCTTTAAATGACTTAAAAAACGACCCATCTGATGAGTACATTAGCGAAGCAATTTTTAAAATAAACTTGGTCTAAACAGAGAAAATCAAAGCTAAAGTTTATGTAAATTAACATGATTTTTTATCACATATAAAGATACGACACGCTTATGATTTTTCTTTGTGTTTTTCCTGAATTATTAATGATTTATTATTATTTTATGACTTTTAAACACAGAAATCACTCGTGGTCACTCGTGTGTACTTTTAGACAAAACCCTTCATTAATAATCGCTACGTTGTTCAAAATACAGAGAGTTACGAAAATGTAAGAAACTCTCGCATCTTTTTACGGAAGAGCGTTACGGCAAATTTAAAATTCTTCCGTGTTAGTTAACGATAACATCAGGGGAGTTAAGAAACTGGGTGTGGTCGTTGGAAAAAGTGGGCATGGCTCGAACTCCACTCTCCAATTACCTATATTCCCAAGAAAATTGGGGAAAGATATTTTGTTTGGGGATGTTGGAATTTATATTTTTAAATAAATTATATCTTATAGCACTAATAATTATATAGCACTAATAATTATAATATAGCATTTGTTGATATAATTCATTGTCAACACGGGAAATTTTCCGCCGCTATATTATAAAGAAAATATAAAACTTTTTTCCGTATTGATATATAGTTATATCAACACTCGTGGAAGTTGGGAAAACTCGAAATTGTGTGAAAACACTCCGCCCTTCGGGCGTCGTGTTTCCACACAATTTCTCGTTTTCCCAATTTCCATTCGTGTTGATATAACTGTATATCACAACACGGAAAATGTTTTATATTTGTTAATTATATAATAATTATATAGCACTGCATACCTCATTTTGAGAATAGGAACTTTTTAATTATAATAAAAATATAATATAATTATACCGACAATCTTAGTATTATATGTAGAAATAACATTAATCTAGCCCAATCGCTATAAAAACATACACTTGCTTATTAAATTAATTTAAAAAACTAGCAGTTTTCGATGAATTGCAATACTCCGTATATCACAACAATCTATATATCCGCAATTAAATAGTCAATAGTCGCTAATTCGTTTCGCTTTGCTTTCACTAGGCTTAACCTTCTCGGCTCTTATACTATATAGGCGCAGTTATATAAGCAGTACTATGTAAAGCTGAATATGGCTAACAAAACATATCAAAATTTTCCATAAAAGCCCATAACAGTCTCAGGTCACCAAGATCCACAATTTTGAAAGCGCCTTGTCAACATTTTCAATGAAAACCGGAATCCTTTACTTCTATAGTAATAGATAGTCGGGTCCACGACCGCGTTTATAACAGCCAGGGGTGCAGTAAAACTGAAAGTGCGATAAAACTTATCCGGACCAGTGTTCCTGTTCGTAAAGAAAAACGCAATTGTCATTGGCAACCAACATGCTGCAAAACTTCCAGCGACCAAAAACAACGAACGCAACGCTGTGAACTCATCTGAGAACGTGTGTATTTGACCTGTGACAGCATACTTTAGTTTCGTTAATTGTCTTCTGTGTTTTCTTGCCCTAGTGTACATATACACATACATTACTGACGATGATGTTATGTAGAAGGCCAAGAAGTAGCGTGTAATGTGGACAATAGCTTTTATCTCGTAGGCCAAACCGATTAATGCCGTAATGGGCAGAAGCATGGCGACAAACCATATACCTCCGACCATAGATAAAGCACGTTTATATGTTATAATTTTTG